TGCAGACTTTAGGGTTTCTTTCTTGAGCTGCGCTTGACCTGAAGAAAGGCAGGGTCTGCCCCAAGCAAAACCTCCAGGCTTGTTAGGGTTTCTGTTTTTTTCCAGTGCGTTCATTTTCCACGCCACTGTGGATCACCAGACTGGCGCTGCACTATGCACGTGTTGGCCGACTCTGGACGCCCTTGCTGTCTGAGGGTAGCTAAGGAGCTGCCCTAGGCCCGTTCATCCTTTTTACGGGCATCTCTTGAGCGCACGCGGCCCTCCAAGGCAACCCAGCAACCAGGCGCGTGGAGGTAGCGAGCCTCCTTGAGTCCTTGGAGGGCCTCGTGCTTTGTGGGTGCATTGCGGGAAATCTCGTTCTGAGGGCTCCGAAGTTGTAAAAGGTGGCTCGGTGCAGGGCGGCTGGACAGCTCTAGTCGCTTCGAGCGTTTAGTGGTGAGACCTGGCCCCCACCCTAAACCCTAAACCCTCAACCCTACGTCCCTAGAGCCCTAAAAACCCCAAAAGCCCGAGACCCCAAGCCCAAGAATTCCTAAAGCACTCGAGCCGAAAGGCCCCAAAACCTCAAGGATCGATCCCAACTGCCCAAGCGCCCTCCACAGGCCCGAAGCACTGCTTCAGCTCCAGGCCGTAACCCTACCTGGAGGTTCATGGGGAGCTATCAGTAGGGTTATAAAGTACCCAAAGTAGGGTTATAACCAGTTCTAAGTAGAGCTACCCTACTTATAACCCCACTGGAAACTACCCATGAACCTCCAAGTAAGCCCCGAACTCCTTCTTTGGGGTTTGGGGTTTTGGGTTTAGGGTTTAGGGTTTAGGGTTTGGGGTTTGGGGTTTGGGGTTTAGGGCCTGCAACTCCAAGCCGAATAGACTTAAATCCTTTACCCCCAAAACCTTTAAGCCCTAAAAGCCCAAAACCCTAAATACCCTAAACACCCTAAACCCTAAACCCTAAACAGCCAAGACATGTCAGCTGCCATTGGCCCCCTGCACCGTCGCCCATCATGGCCTCCGGTCCACGGCGGACCATGGACGCCGTGTTTGGTTTAAGACAGGGTTAGGGTTTAGTTTTTGGGTTTTTGGGTTTAGGGTTTAGGGTCTAGGGTTTAGGGGGTTTGAAGAGTTTTCAGGGGCCCGTAGCTCTAAACTACGCAACTTCATACACCCCTTCAAACCTGTGAGAGGTAAAACTGAACCCTGACCAGGGTTTAGGGTGCAGGAAGTAGGGGCTTTGGGGGAGGTGATGCCGGACGTCTGGTTTTGCCCGCCCTCGGGCTTATTTTTCTGTTTTGTATGTTTATTTACCAACCCTCGGTGTGGGGTTGTTAGAGTTTTCCCTGGAGTGCCCAAGCCCAGAGTGTCCCCTGGAGTGCCCAACCCCAGAGTATCTGTCCGTACCCAGCGAGGGTGGGGATGTTCGAAGTAAAAACAATCTAATTGAAGTTTTTGCTTCCTGAGCCCTAAACCCGTTTAGGGTTTAGGGTTTAGGGTTTAGGGTATTTCCACAGCACGTCTTGGAAGTTTGCTGCGTGGTCCTAGAAGCGTCTGCCGTCGACCGTTTTGTGCCAGCATCGCCCCGTTCCATTGCACCTCATTTATCAAGGACCCTTCAGGCTTTAGGATTCGAAGGACAACGGGCCCGAAATCCTAACCCCCACAAACCCAGGTAAAGAGCTTTGAGCACCAGCTCCGAACCCTAAACCCCTAACCCCTGGTCCGCACGTATGCCGTAACAATCACAAAATCAATCAAAAAAATGAATACATGTACATATATATATGCACATATATATATGTATATATATATATGTATATATATATATACATACTTTGTTTTATCATATCTTAAACTCCCCATGAGCCTTCAAGTGCAGCCCGAAGGCCCCAAAAGGACGTGAGACTCAAGGGTCCGTGTCGCGACACCCAGCTTCTTTGGCCGTGGTCTTTCGCCAATTCGGTGAAGATCCGGCAAGGAGCGTAGGGTGTAGGGAGTAGGGCAGTAGGAGGTTTTCACCCAGCTCTCGCGGAGACATCGATTTGTAATTGGTGCGTGACCGCCGCCGGCCCCTGCGGATCCGAGGAAGCAGAATCGCTTTCCAGCGGCAGGCACATAGTGCTCTCGTTTTCGACAACAGCAGCCATGGCCCTAAGCCCTAACTCCAAAAACTTGGGATGTTCCCCCTTATACTAACAGTCCTTAGTCGGACTATAATCCCTATTCAGGACTGTTCGTATAAAGGGGGAACATCCCAACCTGAAACCCCGAGCTTCCGGTGTAAAATTCAGATGGCTGCGGCTTGGCGACTTTCAGGAATTTCGTTTTCAGGTTTTGAGGTTTGGGGTTCAAAAATGCTTCTCAGGCTCCACGACGCCCCAAGCTCCAGGTTGCAACTCGGACCGACCCGAAACCCTAAACGCTAAACGCTAAACCCTAAACCTTAAACCCTAAACCCTAAACCCTAAACCCTAAACCCTAAACCCGAAACCCTAAACCCAAAACCCGAAACCCTAAACCCTAAACCGCTCTTGGGGGCCCCCTGCTTTCTCGGATGCGCTTTCTGACTTGTACATGTCCGGGGCGCGCCGCGCTTTCTTGCAAGAGTTCATGGATGTTCGTTGCCTTCGGTCGTCCTTGACGACCAGCCCAACTCGAAGAAAAAGGAGCCCTAAGCCCTGAACCCTAAATATTGGCATTTTCCCCCTGAAACAAGCAGTCCTTAGTAGGGATGACAGTACCCCCTATTTCAATCCCTAAACCCTAAACCCTAAACCCTAAACCCTAAACCCTAAACCCTAAATCAAGGGCTGTCAGTATAAAGGGGAACATCCCAACCTAAACACCCTGAAGCCCCAAAGTCCTGCTCCGCAACCTGCTGAAGCCTGATCTAAACCATCCGCCCGTTCCTTCAGCCCCCAAAAAACTTTCTAAGCCCTAAACCCTAAACACAAAAACCCTCAACCCTCAACCCTCAACCCTCAACCCTCAACCCTCAACCCTCAACCCTCAACCCTCAACCCTAAACCCTAAACCCTAAACCCTAATCCTAAACCCCCCAAAAAACTCCTCAACCCAAGCATCGGCACAGCTTCACATCACGTCGGAGCCTCGAATCCCATGTCTTGGCACGCTGCCCCCTTCTGTAAGCCCGTCCTTCATTGGGATTCTATAGTACCCCCTAAACCCTAAACCCTAAACCCTAAACCCTAAACCCTAAACCCTAAACCCTAAACCCTAAACCCTAAACCCTAAACCCTAAACCCTAAACCCTAAACCTAACCCTAAACCCTAAACCCTAAACCCTAAACCCTAAACCCTAAACCCTAAACCCTAAACCCTACACCCTACACCCTACACCCTACACCCTAAACCCTAAACCCTAAACCCTAAACCCTAAACCCTAAACCCTAAACCCTAAACCCTAAACCCCCCGTCTATTCCTATTAAGCGCTGTTGGTATAAGGTGGAACATCCCATGTCCCCAGAGGCCCGCGCTCTGACCCCCGGTGCAGGCGTCGCGTGCCTGGGCCAAGGCCCTGCCGCTTCTGGCCGGGGAGGCCCCAGGGCGCCGGAAGAGAAGGAAACGCTGTAGGGTTTAGGGTTTAGGGTTTACTATGGGGGGTCGGAAGAAGTACGAGTTGTATTCCCTTCTGGTCCCTTTGTAGTTATACTAAACTTAACCCCCCCCGAAGCCCTGTTCTAAGCCCTGTTCTAATTATTAAAGCCCCTGTTATACTACAACATGATTTCTAATAGGTAGAGAAGGTAGGACAACTCGTGCAGAATAGGTATATAATGGGTCAACAACAGGACCCAACAACAAAGGGCCCGTGTCGGCGGTCCATGCTTTAGACCCTAGACATGCGTCGCGCGGTGTTTAGCATCCATATCGATCGCTGTGGACCCATATCCCGAGACCAACCCTGACGTCTAAACCCAGCTAAAGCGCCCTTACCCTAAACCCCTAACCCCTAAGCCCTTGCTTAACCCCCCCCCCCTAACTAAAGCGCCCTTATCCTAAATCCCTAACCCCCTAAGCCCTTGCTTAACCCCCCCCCCCCCCAGTCACCTGCGACATGTGCAAGGCTTCTGCTGTGGCCGCCACGACGTCCATGGTGACGCTGCCCTGGGAGCGCGCTGTGGCTGTGTGGGGCTCCCGGCTAGGGTTTAGGGTTTAGGGTTTAGGGTTTAGGGTTTAGGGTTTAGGGGTTTAGGGGTTTAGGGGTTTAGGGGTTTAGGGGTTTAGGGGTTTAGGGGTTTAGGGGTTTAGGGGTTTAGGGGTTTAGGGGTTTAGGGGTTTAGGGGTTTAGGGGTTTAGGGGTTTAGGGGTTTAGGGGTTTAGGGGGGTAGGGGTTTAGGGGTTTAGGGGTTTAGGGGTTTAGGGGTTTAGGGGTTTAGGGGTTTAGGGGTTTAGGGGTTTAGGGGTTTAGGGGTTTACGGGTTTACGGGTTTACGGGTTCACGGGTTTACGGGTTTACGGGTTTACGGGTTTAGGGGTTTAAAGTTTAGGGAGCGCCTGTCTCTTGCCAGCTTTGGGGGCTTTTTTTGGGCGGTTTGGGGCTTGGGATTCTAGGGCTTGAGGGTTTTTTTTTTTTCTTTTGGGGGGTTGAGGGTAGACTCCGTGCTAAAGGTTCTCGTCTCGCTATACACCCTGAGTACCGCGTTCATCTTGAGACGCGACCTTGCTGTAGAGAAACCCCAAGCCCACTCAAACTCAAAAGCCCACTTGTCTGGAAGCCAACACCCAAGCCACCTCAAACCCTCAAACCCTCGAACCCTCAAACCCTCAAACCCTCAAACCCTCAAGCCCTCAAACCCTCAAACCCTCAAACCCTCAAACCCTCAAACCCTCAAGCCCTCAAACCCTCAAACCCCCAACCCCTAAACCTAGCGTCTCCCCCCCAAGAACCTTGGTTCCAAGATGTTCCAAGCTTGCTGCTGTCGGTCTCCAGCCACCTTCAGCTTGACAGGGACTCGAAGTTAGAGGCACCCGTTTTGTAGCCATGGCGGCTGTCTTCCCAGCGAACCAGGCCTGCCCTTATTTGGGAGGTTCATGGGTCGTTGTAAGTGGGGTTGTAAGTAGGGTTGCTATTTTTTTAAGACTGGTTGTAACCTTATTTCGGGTACTTTTCACTCGACTTCTAGCTACCCATGAACCTTGAAGTAGCGATGGGGGGACTCTGTGTTCGTAGCCGGATTGAGAGGAAGCAGAAGAAGCATAGTTTCCGTCATCGCAGCAGTAACTACCACAGCAGTTAGCAATTCTGATGATGATGGTGATACTGACAAAACTAATGATGATGCTGACGCTGATTCTGATGACGCTGACTCATGATGACGAGGAGGATGAGGATGAAAGGATGAGGATGACGATGGCGACGAGGGCGAGGATAGCTTTCCTTGTTACTTGAAGGTTCATGGGTAGTTATATCTGGGCTTATAAGTCGGGTAACTACACTTATCACTGGTTATGACCTTAGTTTGGATACATATAACCCTACTTATAGCTGCCCATGAACCTTCAAGTAGCCCTAAGCCCTAAACCCTAAACCCTAGACCCCTGAAGCCTAAACCCGGAGAGCGCTCCGCGTCCCCAGCCCCAGGTGATTGTGGTCGGCGGAGGCCTTGCGGGCATGTCCGCCGCGAACACCGTCGTGGTGCCTGCGGCTGCAGCTTAATGCATGTTAGGGTCTAGGGTTTAGAGGGGGACATACCTTGGGTCCCCAAACCCTACACCCCAAACCCCCAAACCCGAAGCCGCACGCCCCAAACCCCCAACTCTCCCCAGGTGCAGGTTTAGGGTTTAGGGTTTAGGGTTTAGGGTTTAGGGTTTAGGGTTTAGGGTTTAGGGTTTAGGGTTCAGGGTTTAGGGTTTAGGGGGAGCCCGAGGAGCTCGGTGGCCGCACCGTGCTGCTGGACAAGTCATCCTTCTGCGGTGGCAACAGCACGAAGGCGAGGGGGGGGAGGGGTTTTAGGGTTTAGGGTTTAAGGGTTAAGGGTTTAGGGTTTAGGGTTTAGGGGTTGGGTTTTAGAGGGTTTTCAGAGAATTTCAGAAAGTTTCAGAGGGTTTTCGAGGGTTTTGGAGGGTTTTGGAGGGTTTCGGGTTGGGTTAGAGGGTTTAGAGGTTGTTTTTTTTTGGGCGCTGGCGGATATAGCGGCCTGAATAATTTGACTAAGGTGTTGGGGGTTACTATAGTATAGCTATAATAGGGACCGTGAGGGAATGCCAATCATTCCGACCCCTGTAGTAATTTGTGTTGGTTGTTCTTTCTCAATTTTGCCCCAAAACCCAAAGCCTGAATAACATTCTAGACCCTACCTGAACCTTAAGAGGGTTCAGAGGGTTTAGACGGGTTAGAGGCTTTAGAGGGAAGGGTTCACAAGGTTTTAGAGGGTTCAGAGGATTTGGAGGGTTCAGACGGCTTAGAGGGTTTATCAGAGGCTCTCGGGAGCCTGTTTCTAGTTGCGGCTTCTGAGCGGTCGCCGCAAGTGCCCGCTCAAGACCAGGCCCGAGTTTCAAGACCCCTCGAACCCTAAACCTCAAGGGAGTAAGACTCGTACCCCTAAGGTTGTACCCCCAAAGGTTCCCCTTAATAGCTTTTGAACGTGGCACCAAAATTCCCTCCAGAAGGGCCCCCCCAAACCCACGGGTGCAACCTAAGGGGTCAACCTGGGAACCCGTGTTCTTTTGTTGTTGCGACCTTTTTTTGGCGTGCCCTGGGTGTCAGGCCACCAGCGGCATCAATGGCGCCGGCACGAAGACGCAGCCGCGTCCTCTGCGAGCCATTCAGGGTTTAGGGTTTCAAGCCCTAAACCCTAAACCTTCTGATTCCTGAGCGAAACCTGGTGCTATACTGAAAGTCTATACCGAAACTTCCTTGCCCTCTTGGGGCAGGGCCATCCAGATCCCGAACCCTAGAACCCGAACCCGAAACCCGGAGCCCTAAACCCTAAACCCCAAACCCTAAACCCCAAACCCCAAACCCCGAACCCTAAACCCCAAACCCGAAGCCTGGAACCCTAAACCCTAAACCGCGAAGGGGAAGTGCGAGTCTGTTGCCCCACCGCTACACCTTTAATTGCCTTCCCTGACGAAGCGCACTAGGGCTGAGAAGGAGAAGGTGAACTCCGCCTTCTTCGGGTGTCGCAGCAAACCCTGAACCCTAACTTCCGGGGTAATATAGGAGTCGGAATGAATACTACTGGTGTTTTTTCATGGTTCCTTCATAACTATACTATATAACCCCCCAAGCCCTATTCTTTCATTCAGGCCCCTCTAGTAAACCCCTAAGCCCTCAAAATGGATCGTTACGCGGCCGGTGTGGGATGACGGCATGGCTTGGCCACCCGCGAGTTCACCATTTGCTGGGTTTAGGGTTTAGGGTTTAGGGTTTAGGTTTTGGGTTTAGGGTTTAGGGTTTAGGGTTCTTCAAAGCTGCCCCGAACCCCACACCTGGCCCCCTGATGCCCACCCCTACACACCACAAGCCCTAGACCCTAAACCCAAAAACCCAAACAAACCCAGGAAACCCAGAAACCCAGGAAACCCAGGAAACTCAGAAACCCAGGAACTCCAGGAAACCCAGAATTGCCCTGCCGAGCAGTGAGGAAGACCAAGTCCATCCCGGACAACGCCGAGATCTTCATCGCGGACACCCTGAAGGGTGGCCTGGGACTGGGGGTTCACACGGTTTAGGGTTTAGGGTTTAGGGTTTAGGGTTTAGGGGCTTTTTAGGTTGACTGACATCGTGGTTCGGGCCGGGGCTTCTCGGGTACGACAGGGTCTAGGGCTCAAGGTGCAGATTGTAGGAAACCAAGAGATTTCAGCAAGTAGCCTCGTAAAGGATGTATTGATGCATCCTGACACGCCCTCGGTGATTCTCAACGCCTAAGCATGAACAACGGCTCCTTCCAACCCCCAAGCCCCAATCTCCGAAGCTCAGGCCCGCCAACCCGAAAACCCACAAAAGCCCAGAAGCCCAAAAGCCCAGGCATGACTTCGGCTTAAGGGCTCAAGCCCAAACGCCCGAAGCCCTCACAAGCCTAGACCCTAAACTCGGCACCGCCCCGAGGTGGCGCGAAGAAGCCGGAGCTCGCCAAGGCCTGGCCTGGCGGTTTAGCAATTTGCTGGGGTTTAGGGTTTAGGGTTTAGGGTTTAGGGTTTAGGGTTTAGGGTTTAGGGTTTAGGGTTTAGGGTTTAGGGTTTAGGGTTTAGGGTTTAGGGCAATCGTGAAGTCCATGTCCAAGGGGCTCGGATTTTGGATGTAGGGACCCTTCAGATCTCCGGTCTCACCCCTTGGCAAGGATATACAAATATGTAGATAAGTATTATAAGGATTATATATACATATGATATCTATATATATATATGTAATATATATGTAATATATATATATATGTAATATATATGTAATATATATACATATATGTATATATCTATATATATATATATATATATATATATATATCATGCATATGTATGGTATATGGTAGGGTTTTAGAGAGCAGGTTCTGTGCGCCAACAGCGCCGCGGATGTCGACTGGCTCGTGGACAAGTTTGACCTGGACCGCCAAAAACACCCCAAACAAATACCCCTAAACCTTAAGCCCCCCCAATGAAACCTCTTCTAAACTTGCATACCCACGCCGACACCCCTAAACCTAAGACCCCCAATTAAGCCTCTCTTTATTCTCAACCCAAAAACCTAACCCTAAACCCTAAACCCTAAACCCTAAACCCTAAACCCTAAACCCTAAACCCTAAACCCTAAACCCTAAACCCTAAACCCTAAACCCTAAACCCTAAACCCTAAACCCTAAACCCTAAACCCTAAACCCTAAACCCTAAACCGTAAACCGTAAACCCTAAACCCTAAACCCTAAACCCTAAACCCTAAACCCTAAACCCTAAACCCAAAAACCCAAAAACCCCAAACCCTAACCCTAAACCCTAAACCCCAAAAAATCGCCTCCGGCTCTCGTAGGTCCGACCCTGCATGGGATGCTCTGACACAACCCGAACCCCTAACGGCTTAGGGTTTAGGGTTTAGGGTAACCCAAACCCCAACCCCAACCCCAACCCCAAAACGGGGGAGACCCTGAGACCCAAACCATAAACCCCACGTACAAAACCCCGAAGCCTGGCCCCGAGCCCAAGACCCCACCGCAGAAGGGGTGCCCTTTTCCCAAAACCCCAAACCCCAAAACCCCTTTATTCCCGAAACTCTAAACCCTAAAACCCCAAAATCCTGAATCCCCAAAAACCCCCCAAAATCCCTCAAACCCCCAACCCCCAAAATCCCCCAAACCCTCAAAGCCCCCCCCAAAACCCCCCTTTGCTCCCCCTTCTTCCCCTTTATGTTTTAAACCTCCAGAATGTTTTTTGGGTGCTTATATTATAACCCTCAACCCCAAACCCCAAACCCCAAACCCCAAACCCCAAACCCCAAACCCCAAACCCCAAACCCCAAACCCCAAACCCCAAACCCCAAACCCCAAACCCCAAACCCCCAACCCTAAACCCTAATAAACCCTAAACCCTAATAAACCCTAAACCCTAAACCCTAAACCCTAAACCCTAAACCCTAAACCCTAAACCCTAAACCCTAAACCCTAAACCCTAAACCCTAAACCCTAAACCCTAAACCCTAAACCCTAACAGGACCTTTCTCTGGTCGCCCGCCTCGGCGGCCACTCCCAGCCGCGCACGCACCGTGGCAAGGAGCGATTCCCAGGCCGGGGCTTGGCTCCTGTGAGTTTAGGGTTTAGGGTTTAGGGTTACGCCGGAGTAGCCCGAAGCCCCTTACATGGGGGCTCAAGCCTGCCAGGCATGACCATCACCTATGCCCTCATCCAGATGTTGGAGAAGGTCGGCTCAGCTTCGCTCTCTCTCTCTCTCTCTGTCCGTGTGTGTTGGTCACTCTCTCTCTGTCTCTCTTGTGTGTGTGTGTGTCTCTCTCTCTCGTTCTCTGTACGTGTATGTGTCTGTGTATGTGTATGTGTATGTGTATGTGTATGTGTATGTGTGTGAGTGCGTGTATGTGTCTGTGTATGCGTGTATGTGTGTATGTGTGTGTGTGTGTATCTGGCAATCTTGAGGCAGTATGGAAAAACCGTAAAGCCACAAATCCTAAGCCCCAAGCCCCACGCCCCCAAGCCCCAAAGCCCCAAACCCCAAGCCCCAAACCCCAAGCCCCCAAACCCTAAACCCTGAACTCTGCGCTCTAAACCCCCTGCCCCTCCCCCTCTCCCCCTCCCATGTGCCCGCTGCTCACCACTCAGAGGTGGCGGAGAAGACCAACCGCGCCCGCATCATCACCAAGGCTGAGGTTTGGCCCTTGAAGAGTTTAGGGTTCAGGGTTTAGGGTTTAGGGTTCAGGGTTTGGGGTTTAGGTTTGGGGTTTAGGGTTTAGGGTTTAGGGCTTTGGGGGCTCAGGGCCTCTGGTTGGGGTTCACTGTAGCCCCTAAGCAGTTCGAATTCACATTCAGTACCTTACATCCTAGCATAGAAGCACGTTGAAGTCTCTAGTCCAAGGGGCTCCCTGTGTCCCTAAACCACAAAAACCCCGGGGCCCAGGTCTACAAGCTCCTGCAGAACGGAAAGAGCGTGGTGGGCTGCGAGCTCCCCGCCTTGTAGTTGCGGCTGCTGTGCTCGGGTTTTTGCATGGGGGGTTTCCGACAATGGGGCACCAGTCTTGAAGGCCACAAATAAGGGTTTAGGCATTTTGGGGTATGCTAGGGGTACCCCAATTTTGGGAAACGCTCAAGAGAAGGAGGATGATGTAGAGAAGAAGGAGGTCCTTGAGGGCTCATGGGTGAGTCAAAGAGAGGCAGAAGGAGGGGCTTAGCACTTGAATTTTCAAGCAGCGCTCTTGTTTGCGCTTTCTGATTCCCAAAGCCAGCCAGCGACAAAACGCGTACTTCCCGACCCAGATGCAACCAAAAACCCTAAACCCGAACTCGGTTTCACCCCAAACGCTAAACTCTAGCGCCAGGTACAAGAAGGCCGGAAAGGTCGTGAAGGACCGTCGGGGTGGGGGTAGGAGGCGTTCGGGAAGTCCTTCCTAAATCCCCAAAACCCCGGAGCGCCCCACAATCCACCCTACAATGACCTCAGCCCCCAGGAGTCTAGGCAGGCCTTGGGACATGACATACATTTTTTCACAGTTTTTGGGTTTAAGAGGATCATACTCCGGTATATACATATACATATACATATACATATACATATACATATACATATACATATATATATGTATGTATGTATGTATGTATGTATGTATGTATGTATGTATGTATGTATGTATGTATGTATGTATGTATGTATGTATGTATGTATGTATGTATGTATGTACATGTACATATACGTATATGTATATATATATATATATATATCTATATATTCCCTTAGTGGGCTTAAGAGGATCATACTCAGGAATCTTCTTTCAGAGGGCTTTAAAAGCATTTCTCAGGAGTTCGGACCCATGGTCCTGGCGTCCGGCGGCTTCGGCGCCGACTTCGGCTCCGCCACCGGGGCTGCACGCATGTTGGGGGTTTAGGGTTTAGGGTTTGGGGTTTGGGGTTTGGGGTTTAGGGTTTAGGGTTTAGGGGTTTGCTTGTGATAAGGCATGGGGGTTTGCGAACATAAGAGGACCCCTCACCTAGTTCCCTTAAACCGTAGGGTTCCTCTATAACACGGACTCGAATAAGGTACCTCGTAATCTCGGAAAACACCAAAGAGCCTAGTGTTTGCTTAAGAACCCCCCCACCAAAAAATTAAAAGAAAAGAAAAGAAAATAAAAAGAAAACACAAAAACTCATAATCATCCCTGTATTACCCTTACATGTAAGAGCTTTTTGTTGTTTTTTTTTTTTTTGGGGGGGGGGGGGTTCTTGAAGCAAATCGGAGTAGCTGTTCTTGCTGTTCTTACTCGTACTGTTCGCCATCGGCGCCTTCTTTGAGCGCCTGTAGGGTGCTCCGCCGCGGGGGTTTGGGGTCTCGTCTCAACCCAAGGCTTCCCTTTGTAGGGTTTAGGGTTTAGGTTTTAGGGTTTAGAGTTTAGGGTTGATCTTAGGGTAGTTTCATGGGGCCCTTCATTTGGTCTCTAACCTCCTTCTGATGTGTGGGCCCTTAGTTTGCATAGGGTAGAATAAGGGGTATGAAAAGGGGCACCCTTTCAAGAGCTCATACAAGGGACCATGCAGCTACACAAAGAGTAGGAGGTTCCCTCCAGACCCTAAGCCCTAAGCCCAAGCCCTAAACCCCTAAACCCCTAAACCCCTAAACCCCTAAACCCCTAAACCCCTAAACCCTAAACCCTAAACCCTAAAACCCTAAAACCTAAACCCTAAACTCTAAACCCTAAACCCTAAACCCTAAACCCTAAACCCCCAACCCTAAACCCTAAACCCTAAACCCCAACCCCTGAAATCTCCCAGGACTCGCTCTTGGCCACCTACCGACCCGACCTCCTGCACTTGCCGACCACCAACGGCGACCCAGCTGGCTCAGGGGTCTCGTGGGCCTTCCGACAGGTTTAGGGTTTAGGGTTTAGGATTTAGGGTTTAGGGTTTAGGGTTAGGGTTTAGGCTTTAGAGTTTAGGGTTCAGGGTTCAGGGTTCAGGGTTTCGGGTTCAGGGCTAGGCAGGGTCCCTGAGGGCATCCCGGCTCAGCGAGCCCCGAAGCCCCGCACTCCCAGGCGAGCACTGCACCGGCGATGCGATCAAGATGGGCGAGGCCATCGGCGCCACCACCATCGACCTCGAGTGGGTTCAGGCTCCTGGGGAGAGCCGTAAGCCCTCAGCTCTACACCAAAAAAGATCCAGGGATAGAGGGGTTTCCAGGCCTAAACCCTAAACCCTAAACCCTAAACCCTAAACCCTAAACCCTAAACCCTAAACCCTAAACCCTAAACCCTAAACCCTAAACCCTAAACCCTAAACCTGCTATTCGGTGAGTTATGGTGCCGAGCTTTGCGCCGCACAATTTGCACAGGGACAGTCTCTCCACCCCCTCTGCTCCCCGATCCCTCACCCCACGTCCGATTCTCCTGCAAACTAGATCAGTGTTAGGGATCTTTTGTATTTTTTGGGTTATGGGCTTTCTTATATATGAACAAAAAGGATCCTTTTTTCTTCCTAGGGGAACAGGGATTAAGCAAAGTTAACCGGTCTCAAGGTTTAGGGTTCGTGGGCTGAGGGAGTTTCGGGTTGGGATGTTCTCCCTTGTACCAAAAGCCCTTGAGAGGGATCATAATAGGGGGTACTAGAATCCCTAAACCCTAAACCCTAAACCCTAAACCCTAAACTTCTAAGGGGGAACAGCCCAACCTTTAGGGTTTTAGGGCGCCAGGTGCACCCCACCGGCCTCGTGAAGCCGGACGACCCCGACGCCAAGGTCGGGCCTGTGGGGGTTTCCGAGAATAGGGGTACCCCTTTATACCCCCAAATGGAGTAGAATCCCCTTAAGACAGGACCCCCTCTATAATATGAAGCCCCCGTAGAAGCCCCTTAAAACATCCCCGAAGTCCTAAGCCCTACCTGGAGGTTCTAAGTGGGGTATTAAGGGCACTTTTTCCCTACTAATAACTACCCCCTGAACCGTCAAGTAAACCCCAGCCGCATTTCCATGAGGTTTTGGGATGTGTTGGTTGATTTCGGCCTTGGGCTTCGGGCTTGGGGCTCAGTGGCCATTGACAGGTCTTTTGTTGAAACTCTCTGAAAGACTCGGAAGTTTCGGCTTTGGGCGTTTCTGAACCCTAAACCCCAAACCCGAAACTCTAAATCCTAAACGCCCTTTGTTGGCGTCCTTCGGGTGCCGGGGGTCAAGGCAGGCCTTTCTTGAGTAGTCACCTACATGACTCGCGCCCAGACGCCAAAACAGGGTTTAGGGTTCAGGGATTTAGGTTTTAGGGTTCAGGTGGGAGTTTCCGGCGAGCTTGCAACTTCAACATGGGAAGCTTGCCCCATCAGGTTCATTATGCCGCCCCCCCCATACGCCCAAAGCCCCTACGCCTTGCAGCTGGGTGTAGGGTCCAGTTGACTTCAGGGTCTACGTATAAGTTTAGGGTTTAGGGTTTCAAGGGCCCAAAAGCTTTGTCCGTCCCCGTGCCAGGTCAAGTTCCTGGCCGCTGAGGCTCTGCGCGGTGTGGGCGGCATCGTCCTGGACCCGCGACTGGAGGGGTCTACAGGGCTTCGAAGCGAAGACTGCGGGATTGCAGATTGCAGTTGGAGGAGTCTTGGGGTGTTCTGGAGTATTGGGCCCCACATCCTTGAACTCGCACCCCAAACCAAGCCGAAGACCCCGGCTCGGGCGGGCAGGACGCCAACGGCGACCGCTTCTGCAACGAGCTGGGCCGCCGTGACTATGTGACCGGCGAGACTCATGGCCGCACAGGGACACGCTCCAACTTAAACTCCCTAAATGGGGATGAAGGTTTGGAATGAAGACCCAAAAGGACCATAAACGCTGGATAAAGCAACATTTCCTCAACCAGTTTTGTGTGTATGTGAGCGTGTTTTCGGGCTCTGTGTGGTTCTCCATAGCGAGTGAATGTCAAGGCCGCTTAGAGTCTGGAGCTCTGGATGTAGACCCTGAACCTGCAACCTCGCCTAAGCCCTAGAACCCTAAACCCTAGAACCTGGCATAACCCCATAGAACCCAATAGAACCACAACCCCATAGAACCAGAAACCAATAGAAGCCGAAAAGAACCCCAATAGAATCCCCACAGAAGCCTCTAGAACCCCAATAGATACCCCATAGAATTCCCGATAGAACCCTAGTAAAAAAAATAACCAGAGCCCCCCATAGAACCCTTAAAAACCCTAGAGCCCCCCCACAGAGCCCCAAGAGAATCCAAACCTGGAAGTGCCCGAGGATGTGGAAGAACAAGCCCCCGTTCCGCCTCTGCCTGAACAAGGCGGGGGCATACCGGGATTCGGGTCGTGGGATTTAGGGTTGAGGGTTTAGGATTTAGGGTTTAGTATGGTGTAGGGTTCAGGATTTTGGGTTTGGGATTTAGGGTGTGGTTAGGGTTGTTAAGGGGTGGTTTAGGAAGGTTATAAATGCCCCAAGTAAGGTTATGACATAGGTCCTTAACCACTAAGTTAGCCACCCATGAACCTTGCGCGGAGATCACGGAGGTAACCGTGGAGATGTGGGGATTCTTGTTTTGACAAGCCGGGCGAGTTTATTACGTTTGTATCGCCCCAGCCAAAGCCAGCCCAACCAAGCCGTGCTTGCTGGTAAACCATTACCCCCTGTGTGCTTCACAAGCGGGCCTTCTGCATCCAACAAGACACTCGGCAAGATGAAGGGCTTGCACGCTGACACTTTTGGAAATGGGACGGCACCCTCCCCTCCAACCCCCTGCCTGCTAAATAGCAAAGCGAAATCTTGGGCGGCACGCGCGTCCCGGACCCATCTCAAGCACTGCTGCCCTGCTTCCCCACTGTCTCACTTGATAGCCAGGGGCGACTCAAGCAAAAACCCGACAAGAGCCCTCGAAGCCCTAAAAAAACAGGCGGCAGCTGATGAGATCATCTGGCACGCCAAGCACTACACTGGCGGGGGGAAGGGGGCTCGGGATTGTAGGTTTGGGAGTTTAGGGCTTGTTGTAGCCTCTGGGCTTTTTGGGTCTTCGGTGCTTTGAGGGGCCTTTAATGGCTTTCAGTGTAATCCGGGATTCCCCAACTATATGGGGATCAGGGAATTGTGAGGTTGTGGGATCTACGAAGCCTCTGCGCCCTCAACCCCTTCAGCATCCAGCGGCCCGACAAATGCGGCGGCCCGGAAGCCCCCTAAACTAAACCCACTGGCCCGAAACCCTCGAGCGCTAAAGCCCTGAAGGCACTCAAAAACAACAAAAACCCTAAGGGTCCCGAAGCACTATAAAGGTCGAGGAGCTTCAGGGCTAACGACGGCAGCATGAAGTCTCCCCCTGAATGAGGCACCTTCACGTACCTCACTCCCTCATGCCCGACGAAGAAGCCAGTAAGTCCTAGGGGAAGCTCGAAACCCCTTGTCTAAGGGTAGTTTCATGGGCCCTTCAGATGGTCCCTTACCTTCGTTAAGGGGTTCTCAAGTAGGGGCCACTTGGGTTTTATAGGGTTTCCTAAGGGGTCAAAAAGGCGTCCCCGCTCAAAGGCCCATATTAAGGGACCATGACACTACCCTGCGACCTTGAAGCGGAAAGGGCGTGGCGTCATGAAGTTCTACCCCAGTGGCGAGGACCTGGCCAAGGACAGTCTCGGCTTCGACGGGGGGAGTTTAGGATGTTTTCTAGACCCTAGACCCTAGAACCTAGACCCTAGACCCTAGACCCTAGACCCTAGACCCTAGACCCTAGACCCTAAACCCTAAACCCTAAACCCCAAACCCCAAACAACCCTAAACGCGATTCAGGGGCTGTGGGTGCCTCGGAGTTTCGGGATCTAGGGCCCGAAAAAGCCCGCAATCTTAATGGTAGGGCTTCATGGCCCCAAGCCTGCAGCTGCTGTGCCTTTGAGCCTTGAAACCACCCTAAACTCCAAACCTTAAAACCCTAAACTCCAAACCCTAAACCCTATCCCAGGGCTGGGTGGTGTCATGTTTTGAGGCGCGCTCTTGTTTTTGCAAGCTCAGGTGGGATGATCCCGAACCGGCCCCCCTTGCATGCTCTGAGGGTTGGGTCCAGGGTTTGGGGTCTAGGCTATATTTTCCTCTTCTCGAAGCCATGTACAAGGTACCCCGACTGGGGCTATGAGGTTATTGGGGGCCTCAGTGCCCTGAGCACCCAAATCTCAAACCCCCAAAGAGAGGACCTGGGGGTCCCAGCATTTCGACTAGGGCTGCCCCCAGGACATGGGCGTGCCCCTGCAGAAGCTGGTGGATGCGCACCAGAAGCATTTCGAGGCTGCCAAGAAGCAGGCTCGCAGGGCTGCAATGAACCCGAGACACCCGAGACACCCTAGACACCCCGAACCCTAAAGCTGCAGCCGTAGCCACAATAAGGACAAAAAAACCTTAAGTTCCCTAGATGAACTTTGGTTTTTGCCATTTGGCATCGGCGGAAAGTGCCCTGACTCAGCCCGCAAGGTCCTACAAGCGTGTGGCATGAAACGCTTCCTGCCAGCTAGAACAAAAGGAGTCAAATATTGCATATACAAGGAATTAAAAGACGCGTGAAATTCAATATGGAATGGAGAGAGAACGATGAAAAACCCAACTAAGAACAAAAAGGCGGGCTCCTTCACTCTATTCAAGATAGAATTCTTGCACCACGAAAAAGAAGTCGTTTATTGTGCTGCATGAACAATGTTTTAATGTTGTGTAAACGCGGACGAAATAAGATAATAATAACAATAATAGCCCCAAATATAATTACTGTTAATGGGCGCTCGGTTTGCTGTTTTGTTATTCTTACTACTATCTTTGTTATTGTTTTCGGTTCAGATTTGGATGTAGAAATCAGGAGAAGATGAGCCCGCAGAGCCCTCAATCTGCGAAGGACTCAGGACAAGGCCTGGATCGACCCAGGCGATCTTGACCCAACACAGCGTTGGGACAAGGCTAACTCTCTTACCTTCTCGGCGCCAGTTTGACTGATGAGACTATTCTTCCCCGAGATGGCTCGCGCGCCACATCGACCCGAGGCCAATCTCAAAGATTGGGCCCAGGAACGAGGTTTCCTCCAGGCTTCCGCCGTCAAAGGACAGAGTAGACGAGGTTGCTTTTTCCGGGTGCAGGCCCCTCAGGCATCACCGACAATTCCTTCAAGTTTGCTTCAGGCGCCCTAGTCACACCGGGTAAACGGGAGGTCTCCGCCCACTGAGAAGCCCGAAAAGGATCGATAAGGCACTTCGCTCCAGCGCCAGAGTTTTCTCAGCTTGAAGCCGAAGATGCAGATGAACTAACGCAACTCGACGAGGAGGAGGACGTCGAGATGCAAGACTGCGCCGAAACCCTTAAGCCCGTCAACAGCCAGGCTACTGACGCAGTGAACCAGGACGACGACGACAGACGACGACAGATCTCGCTCCCCAAGAAACCAGGGCCCCCAAAGGCCTCGCCGTCAAAGCCCACAAGGCCTCGCCTTCAACAGTAAAAATTGCCAAACTCCCCTTTGCAGGTTTCTTGACGGGATTGTGGATACATGACAGCGTCACAAGCATTGTTGTTGGAGCAAAACAACAAGACCTCCAGCGCGAAGCCTGGTGACCTACAACTGGGTGGTAGGTTGCAAGCACAGCTACGCTTGCTCGCTGCCAAGGAGCTTCAGGACAACCCAGATCACTATGGCTTCGAGGTCGGATCGGGGGTGGACAAGCAGGAGAATGGTGTGACTCACAGTCGCTATCAGCCCTTGCGACTGCAGCAAATTTGCAATCAACGTCTGGGCCCGAGACAGGGGACGTTGGATGATGCTGGACGCTGTATATCATTCGACCAGCCAAAACTGGCACTAAGGCTCCTACGGAGATTTGGCTTAAACTCTGAACCGCCCGAACATTGTGCAAGCTTTTGGTGTTGTTACAACAAGCGCTCAGCATGAAGCCGACGTGCTGCGCTCCTTGGGTCAATGCTGGCTGTGCTTATTCATCAGCGCGAACATTTTTCGCGACACCGTCAAAGAGCGCGTCGCTGGGCCTACAGTTGACCTACGCCGTCATGTTAACAAAGCCACGTCGACTCGCTCAGCCCTCCGCTTGCTTGTTGTTCAACATGAGAAAACATTGAGCAAAAGACCTGCCGCCTCCGGATGGCAGCGGCCCCGCCCGATCTGCAAATGCGGAGGGATGCCCGCGTACCCCAAGAGAGGCCTCAGCGCTTGAGCTCAGCATTGGCTCAGTCTTCTCAGTGTACGCCTGCTTCTACAACGCGCGCAACGTCAGCTGTGCTGCCTTTTGACTGAGTCTCAACCCGCTCTGTTCTCGGGGCTGGCAGGTTGGCGCAGACAAAAAAGCTCAGAGACTCGGAAGGCGTTTTTCTCAGAAGAAACTCAGATGGATTTGCCTCGATAGCAAAGCTTTCCGACATTAAGGCTCAGAATCTCTGAACTCAGGATTTTGTGTCTTCCGGCTTCGATCAACTTGGCCTCACGCTGCAGAGCTTTCCCACGAACTAGAGAGAGAAGCTTAATTAGGGTTTCCCTAAGCCCTACATCCCTGAACCCTAAACCCCAAACTCTACACCCTACATTTCCTTCAACCCCCACCCCGTTAGGCTTCTAGTTCCCAACCCAGCCAGCCCCGAGAGCTGATATTTTGGTCGAATTCAAGGAATGTCCCAGCGTCCGACCGTAGAAGTTTAAATGTTCCAGTTTGCTGGCCTGAGACAAAGAAGTTTCACGCGCCAACTTTGATTTTGTATTGCGTGTTTCTCATATGTGTTGAAAAATGTTGTTTTCGTCGCCGCGCTTCGTGGCCGCTACTTACGCAGAAAGTGCCGCGTCGTGTTTCATGTGTGCGACACTTCTGGATGTTTGCGCGACGTGACGGTGTGCTTGAATTGACGCTGGACTTGGAGTTTGCAACGCGTGCTTTTGAAAACAAAATAACCCTTAAACTTATCGGGTTTCAAGTTCAGGGGTTCCGGATCCTCCTCAAATGCCCCCTCCCCCCATGCTCTCGGATGTGCCTGACACGTGCTTGTGATGCCCGGAAATCCTCTTTATAGCGGACTCACACGACCCCCGTTAGGTTGCTAGACCCTCTTCGAGGTCCATAGTCTTAAAACATACAAGGTAACACCCAAACCCCAAAACGCAAACAGACAGGTACATTATTCCCCTTTGTTTAGGCCCTTGAAGCCCAGCTTACTGTTCGCGAGCGAATGGTGTTTTATCGATTGCTGCCAAATTGTCTCTAAGAAAAACGGTGTGCCGTTTGGTCTTGGTTTGAAGCCCAAAAGTTTCTGATGCTTGTCATGCTTGGTTATGCCAACGACGATTTGCAATTGCATGTGCAGGAAGATGTGTGTGCAGCACTGGCTCTGCAGCTCAGTGCCAAAAATTTTGAGACTGGAGGCCGTGTTCTAGTCTAGTGGCTCTTAACGAGGTGCTAAGACTTTAGTTTCGTGCAAGCTTCCCGCGATCGGGAAGTGGATGGACCTGTCTGCATCAAGTGCCTCCACATCGTCTTCCGACGATTTCCGGGTGCCTGTGCCCTCCTTTGTCTTTGTGCCCGTGCGCATTCGACCTTTGCACTTTCACGTGCCTGCACTTCAGCGCTGCTTGGACGCACCACCTGATATTTTCAGCTACATTGTGGAGCCTAGTTTCCGTGGCCTCCTTGTTAGTCGGCGTGAAGGGGCCCGTTTTCTTCTGTATCTCACGCTGTCTGATTGGACCCGCTTTGGTGCTGCTACCCATTGGGTGCAGTCGTGTTATCGCCAGCTCCTGTCTTTGCCTGGTTAACGACCTCTTCGTGGTGCAATGTCTGAAGATAGTTTGCCGGATATAGAGGGGGATGATCTTTCGGTCGGTCATGTCAGTGAAGATGATGGGCCGCCAGTCCTTCCTATCGTTCCCTTTGAGTTGCCCCCATTTGGGGCTGGTGTGCAGTCCTCTGGGCCGTTGTTGCGGTTGCCAAGGCCGTTGGATGCAGAAGTCGATGGCCTAGATTGGGGTGATGAAAACTCCCCTGTTTCGGCGGCAGAAGACTTTATGGTTGACGTCAACCCTGAAGTGTCTGAACTCAGCTCTGGGCATACCTCATGCCGGACATGTGCGCGTGATGATTTGTTGAGCCAGTCTGCAGACCATGACGCCATTAGGGAAGACTCACAGGTGTCTGAGTCTGAGAAACCGTCCGTCAGCGAGCCTCCTGCAAAAATGGCGCGTACCGTGGGTGATGTGTTTGCCGACAGCTTTGTACGGTTAGCGGATAGGGGCCTGTCTGATGTTGTGTTGCCTTGGGAGCTGCCTGCTGTGAGTGCAATCTTTGGCGAGTCCTCGGTGTCTTCGGAGCTTAAAATGCCACCCCTTTCTATGCGTGAAGCAGAAGTCTGGACCCCCCAGTCGCTTCCGTGCAAGCCTTTCACTTCGTTCGATGAGCAACAGGAGTCGGTCGTGCCTGGGGACCTTGCGTCATCTGTTTTCAAAGTCCTTTCCGACGTTGATGTTGATGCCCAGCAAAGCAAAGCAGTGAGGCTTGCGGTTGATAAGTGGATCGTGATTATGCGGAGGAACCGCAAGATGCACCCTGAGTGCGAAGTCGATCCACAGGCGCTGGAAGCATGCATTGGGTCGAGGGCCGCAGGAACAGCCTCCAAGAGAGCAGGTAGCATCCTCACGTTCCTGAGGTGGTTTGATACCATTGTTGGTGCAAATCTCGATCCTTTCACTGATGACATGTTTTGGAGGTACATGCAATTCTTGGATGGTTCGCAGGCCCCACCGTCCAAAGCCTCTTCCTTCTTGTCCGCCCTGCGCTTTGCTTACTTCGTGATGGATGTAAGAAACATCCCTTGCAAAATAAGCCGCAAGTGTGTTGGCGCGGCTGAGCGTATGTTGGCTAACCTTGGTGACCTCCAACAGGCACCCCCGCTCACTGTGGCACAAGTTCGTATCCTTCATTCCCTGTTGCATGGACACGATACATCGGATTGGGATCGAGCCTTTGCCGGATATTGTCTCTTGTGCTTGTACGCACGTGCCAGACAATCTGACTTCCGTAAGGTGGCATATGTGGACGTGGATGGAGAAGGCCGCGATGGCTATGTGGTAATCCGGGTTAAGCAGCATAAGACCGCAAGGGCAGCCAGAAGGGTCGCGCAGCTGCTACCAATCCTGATTCCGTTGCGTGGAATTGCGGATCATGAATGGTTTGAGACGTGCAAGTGTGCCTTTGAGAAGGTTGGTCTTCTGTTACATGGGCATGTTGGTGCTGCGCTCTTCCGTCCGCCCCTAGCCAATGGCGTGTTGGCTCGCAGAGCCATTACGGCAGGGGAAGTCTCAACTTTCCTAAGGCTTGTGCTTAAAGATAAGG